AAAAACCGCTGCCAACGACACGATCAACATCGGTTTTATCGGCCTCGGTCAGCAGGCGATGCACTGCTCAACGGTTTCATTACCATCGACGGGGTGAAAGTAGTGGCCGGCTGCGACGTCTACGACGTGAAACGCGCCCGCTTCGATAAGCGCGTGAAGAAATACTACGCCGATCACGGCGAAAAATGCAAGGTCGACCTGTACGAAGATTATCAAGAGCTGCTGGCGCGTCCCGATATCGACGCGGTCGTGATCGCCACGCCGGATCACCAGCATGCGATCATCGCTATCGCCGCCTGCAAGGCCGGCAAAGACGTTTACCTCGAAAAACCGATGACGCTGACCATTTATGAAGGACAGCAGCTTCGCAAAGCGGTGCGTAAGTACAGCCGCATCCTGCAAATCGGCAGCCAGCAGCGTTCCGACGCCGAATTTATCCACGCTGCCAACCTGTGCCGCGAGGGGGACTCGGCAAGATCGGGCTGATCAAGGTGCATGTGGGCGGTTCGCCGACTCCCTACACGCTGCCGAAACAGGAAGTGCCGGCCGGCCTGAATTGGGACAAGTGGCTCGGTCCGCTGCCCGAAACCATTTATTACAATTCGGATTTGAACCCGGTCATCACGATCGATCCCGAGCAGAACGAACAGCTCTGGGGCGCATGGCGCTGGTATCAGGGCATGGGCGGCGGCCTGATGACCGATTGGGGCGCGCACATGTTCGACATCGCGCAGTGGGCGATGGGCAAGGACGGCAACGGCCCGGTCGAGATTATTCCCGCCGGATACAGCTATTACGATCACCTGACTTATAAATACGACAAACGGAACGACCGTTACCGACAGGAGTTCGACGGAGGCAAGCAGGGACTCAAAATTTACGGCGACAACGGCTGGATCCAGGTGTGCCGCGGCGAATTCCTCGCTTCCGACCCGAAATTCATGCCGAAGGCCGAGAAACAGCAGGACAGCAGCGTGCCTTACGAGACGAAAGTCGGGCACTACCAGACCTTTATCAACTCGATGCGTTCGCGGATCGATCCGAACGTTCCGGTGGAAGTGGGACATAGTTCCTGCACGGTCTGCAATTTGGGCAACATCGCCAACGAACTGAAGCGTCCGGTGGTGTGGAACCCGATCGTCGAGAATTCATGAACGATCCGGAAGCCACTAAACGGATGCATTACCAGTACCGCGACGGATATTCGCTGGACGTTTAGCGTTCCGGCATCAAAACGGAAGCGGAGGAAATGTCGTTTTTTTTCCTCCGCTTCCGTTTTTGTCTGTCCGCAAGGACGGTCAGTCCAGATAAACTTTTTGATAGGTAAGCTGTCCGAGTCCGTCGTTGGCTACGAGGGTTTCCGGTTCGAACAGGATCTCGAACCGGCGCTGGGGCCGGCCGGCTTCCTGAGGGTTCAGTACCAGTTCCGATTCGGAGCTCAGTCCCCAGCGTCCGTCCTCGCGCTGTTCGGTCGTTTCGGTGAAACGGACGACCGTATAGGTGTAGTCGCCCCTCAGGTGCAGCATCCGGTTGCCTTCCCCGCCGCCCGCGTTGCTACGGTACATGCCCGCGATCAGGCCGTTCGGATCGCAGTGGGTCGCCCGTCGAAACCGAAAGGTTCACGGACGACCATCCGGACCGGGCCGTTCGACGAGTCGGCTTCTTGCCGGATCTCGGCGTGGCAGAACATGTGAACCCGCTCGTGGGGGCCGGCCGCATTTGTTCGTAGTTTGCGATGACTTCCGGATACGCCCCGCTGCGGTCGAGCAGATAGGTACGGCCGGTCGCGCAGTCGAAAAACCGGGCCGTGTCGTCGTAGCAGACGAATTCGCCTCCGAAATAGTCGGACGGAAGCGGTTTCGCACGGTTGCATCCGGAGGCCCACAGGCCGATTCCAAGCAATCCCAGCAGGCAGTAACGTCGGTTTTTCATAGCAATTCCCGGTTTGTGTTTCGGACTATTTGATTCCCATTTTGTCGAATAGCGCCTGCGTGTCGGGTTTATGTCCGCGGAAACGGACGTACAGCTCCATCGGGTGCTCCGAGTTGCCTTTCGACAGGATGTTTTCGCGGAACGACGCGGCCGTCTCCCGGTCGAAAATGCCTTTTTCCTTGAACAGCGAGAACGCGTCCGCTTCGAGCACTTCGGCCCATTTGTAGCTGTAATACCCGGCGGCATAGCCTCCGGCGAAGATGTGCGTGAACGAGGTCGACATGCACTGTCCGTCCACCCGCGGCATCACCTGGGCCCTGGCGACTGCCTTCGCTTCGAAAGCGTCGGCCGGTTCGTTCACGGGGGCGGTAATGCTGTGCCAGGCCATGTCGCACAAACCGAACGATACCTGGCGGATATGCTGGTAGGCGGCCAGGTAGTTCTTGGCGTCGATGATCCGCCGGATCAGCTCGGCCGGCATCTTTTCGCCGGTCTGGTAGTGTACGGCCCGAGGTCGAGGAACTCTTTCTCGGTAGCCCAGTTCTCCATAATCTGCGACGGCAGTTCGACGAAATCGCGGTAGACCGACGTGCCGGTCATGCCGGGGTAGTTTCCCTGCGAGAAAATGCCGTGCAGCGAGTGTCCGAATTCGTGCAGCATCGTGCTGACCTCGTCGAATGTCAGCAGCGACGGGGTATTCTCGGTCGGTTTCGTGAAGTTGAAAACCAGCGAGACCAGCGGGCGGGTGTCCTGCCCGTCGCGCGCCGACTGGCTGCGGAATTCGGTCATCCAGGCCCCGCCGCGTTTCGAGGCCCGCGGGAAGAAGTCCATGTACAGTACGGCCAGGAATTTCCCGTCGGCGTCGTGCACTTCGTAGGCCTTTACGTCCGGGTGGTAGACCGGATGTCGGGGTTCTCTTTGAACGAGATTCCGTAGAGTCTGCCGGCCAGGTCGAAAATGCCGGCCTGCACGTTTTCGAGTTTGAAATAGGGCTTGGTCAGCTCTTCGTTGATGCTGTATTTTTCGTTTTTCAGTTTTTCGGAATAGTAGGAAAAATCCCACGGCATCAACTCGCCGGTAAAACCGTTCGCGGCCGCATATTCGGCGACGCTCTTTACGTCGGCATGCGCGGCGCCGATCGCCCGGTCGAGCAGTTCGGTCAGGAAAGCGTTGACCGTCGGGGCGCTTTCGGCCATCCGTTCTTCGAGCACATAGTCGGCGTAAGTATCGTAGCCGAGCAGGCGGGCCACTTGTAGCCGGGTGTCGGCGATCTCTTCGACGATCTTCGAGTTGTCGAACTCGCCGCCGAACGCGCGGGTGTTATACGCTTTCCACAGCTTCTCCTTCAGCTCGCGGTTCGACGAGTACATCATAAACGGCGACATACTCGGGTATTGCAGCGTGACGACCCACCCTTCGAGGTTACGCTCTTTGGCCTCGGCCGCCGCTCCTTCGCGGACAAGGTCGGGCAGTTCGGCGACCTGCGCCGAGTCGGTGATGTGCAGGATAAAGGCGTTGGTCGCGCCGAGCGTGTTCTGGTTGAATTTCTGGGTCAGTTGCGACAGTTTGGCGGTTAGCTCGCGGTAGGTCTTTTTATCCGTTTCGGACAGCGCCGCGCCGTTGCGCGCGAAATCTTTGTAGGTCTTTTCGAGCAGGCGAGACTGTTCGGGCGTCAGGGCGAGCGAGTCGCGTCGGGCGTAGACCGCTTTGACCCGTTCGAAAAGCGCCGGATTCAGCGTGATGTCGTTGCTGAATTCGGTCAGAACAGGCGAGATTTCCAGCGCCAGGTTCTGCATCGTGTCGTTCGTGTTCGCTTCGTTCAGGTTGAAAAAGACGCTGCTGACGTTGTCGAGGCGTTCTCCGCTGAACGCAAGCGCTTCGACGGTATTCGCAAAGGTCGGTTCGTCGGGATTGTTCACGATGCGGTCGATGTCCGCACGGGCCTCTTCGAGCGCTTTGTCGAAAGCCGGTTTGTAATCTTCGTTTGTGATTTGCGGGAACAGCGGCGCTTCGTAGGGCGCGGTGGACGTCACCAGCAGCGGATTCTTTTTTTCGCCGCAGGCTCCCAGCGTCAGGACGGGAATAGCCATACAATACAAAATTATTTTTTCATTTCAAGCAGTATAGAGATTGCAAATATCGTACTAACTAACGCGGCCCGCGACCGTTTAATTGTCGTAGAAGTTGTCGTAGAAGCTGCTGTTGCGGTCGTACTTGAGGTCTTTCAGCATCGAAGCCTTCACGTTGATCGTGAAGCTCCAGCTCTTGCGGAACCCGATCGGAACCCAGTTGAACGACATCTGCCAGCAGTGCAGGTCGCGGGTCAGCGTGAAGGTTCCCGGCGTGATTTTTTTCGATCCGAAGTCGTAACCGCCGTTGAACGTAACTCCCCATTTGGGCGTCAGGTTGACGCTGCCGTTGAAGCCGAGGGTTTGGACGATATTGGCCTGAAGCCCGGGCTTCGTATAGCTGAAGCTGTAATTGAATCCGAAATTCCACGGGATGCTGAAGTCGTAGTAAGTGGCCGACATCATTTGCCGCCGGGTGAACGGGTCGATTTGGTTGTAGCCGGGCTGCGTGAACATGTCGGTATATTCCGGAGGCACTTCGGTCGTCCCGCTGTGATGTCGTTGATGGCTGCCGGCGACGAGGATCCCCGGTTTTTCGAATTGAACGAATAGCCGAACGAGGTGCTGACGCTCGTGAGCCGTCCCAGTTTCCCTTTCCGCAGCATGAACTTGTTGACCTTTCGTCCGTTGGCGTCTATCTGATAAGGATCGAGCGTCGCGTTGACGTTCAGTCCGACGTTTTTGAACAGGTTGGTGCGCAGGTTGATCGAGAAAGGAGCCAGGTTCAGCGAGTCGGCCAGGAAATTGTAGGACGACGTGATGCTGAAGTTGTCGATCAGCTTGATCTTCCGGAATCCCGAGGTGTCTTTGTTGCTGCGCACTTTCATTTCCAGCGTTTGGGTGAGTCCGAAGGATATGCCCGCGCTACGCCCCGCGCTCGGCACCCCGTACAGACCCTCCTCGAACGGCGAATAGCGCCTCATGTTACCCAGCGTATCGCTCTGCACGTATTTGTAATACCCGTATTTGGCGGCTCCGAAATCGGGGCGGTAGTTGAAGCTGATCGTCGGGGTCAGCGTGTGGCGGAACGCCTGCACGGCAGCCGTTTTTTTGAACTGGTAGGTTCCGTACAGCTTGGTCGTGGCGCTGACCGAGAAAACTGTAATCGTACAGCCGGTAGAAGCGGTGGTCGTATCGCCGTTGACGACCGACCGGGAAACCGGGTCCCACTCCTTGTCGATCTTGCGGAAGTACCAGCGTTCCTGATAGTTTGCCGAAGGACTGACGTTGATGTAGTTGAGCAGGTTCAGCGACGTGGAGATCGGAATGTTGTGGTTGACGCCGTTCTTCATCTGCTTGAACATCCGGTCGGTGAACAGATCCCTTTCTTTGACTTTTACGTTGTTGCCGAGCGTTCCCGTGTAGGTGAACGAAATTTTCTCGTACCAGCGCTGCTTGCCGACGGCCTCCTTGCGCCGGAACGGATAGACGCGCGATACGCTGAAAACCACGTTCGGGAAACTCAGCGAAACGGTCGTGTCCTGCGAGTTCTGCGAGTGCTGCATGTTGGTCGATAAAGAGAACGGCGTACCGGCCCACGATTTGGAGTAGGAGATGCTGGAGTTGGTTTGCGTGTTCAGGTAGTCGTTGATCGTCTGCGCCCCGTATTTGCTGTAACCGCTGGTTGAAAAGTTCACGCTGGCCGAGAAGGTCGAGTTCGGGCGGAACTTCGCGTCCTGCTGGTGCGTCCATTGCAGGTTGAAGTTGTTCATGTTGACGTAGTCGGGCTCGTCGCGTTCGCCGATGATGTCTTTTGAAAAGTAGAAATTCAGGCCGCCCCGGTATTTGTACCGCTTGACATACCGCGAAGCGAGGCTCGCTTGCCACGATCCCAGCGTGTAGAAACCGCCCTGGACGGTCATGTCCATGTAGTCGTTGAATGCGAAATAGTACCGGCGTCCCGCAGGAAAAAGCCCTT